CTTATTAAAAGTAATACATCATTTTTTTTCTTGATCAATGCCAGTATTGAAACTATCTATTTTCTTAACGGAAACGCCCACCAGCGCGTGACGAGCGCTACAAAACGGTGTTACACAAGAAATAAAAATTCAAAAACTATTAAATTTCTCAACCCGAAAAAAGTGTGACAACCAACACTTTTTTTTCTCTCTCTCCTCAAACACACACCACCTCATTATAACGCAACCCGTTCGGAATCATTAAGACATGCGCCAATCAATCTCGCTAGGCGTCCGTTCTCATTAGTAACGTGCCACCGACCATCTGGTATCGGACATACGATACCATACCCATTGTGGCTATCGACAAAAGACCGTGTCGACGTCCACCGACAAGGCTAACGCTCTGTACTATTAAAAAAAAAACTATGCCAGTTTCGATTTTTAAAATTTAAGAATTATTTATTCCATTAGATATACTATGTCAATCGATTATCTTTGTTTGATTTTCTTCGCCGCGTACGTTTATCAAGCGTACGAATAAACTAAATATCTATCAAAACTTCTGCCGCGGGCGTCAGCGTCATTCTGCAGTTTTTCATTCTCATATGACATAATGTTTATTCATGGGAAGAAGACAAAATTAAGTAGAGAATTGTTGTAAATAAAATGAATGTAGCTCAGCTACCTCAGCTTTATAGTAGTCCCTTCTGATACCTAACTGTAATTGGTCAAATTTCAATGTCTCCTTTTGTTTTCATCTTTCAAATTTGTAGTCCAAGCCTTTCGTTCACTGACCTACACTGTTTCTCTAAGTAGTTTTGTTGCAATACACACCATCTAAAATATATTATTCACCTCACTCTGAAGTAAATACGGGTGAAAGATTAAAAATAGCATTTTGTTCATTTATAATATAATTAACTCTAGATGATTTAGCTACATGTTGTTTAATAGTAATTTTACAAGTTAAGCCAAACGCTTCGTAAGGATTCGACCTATTATCCAAATTATCGTTAGATCAACAGAAATATTTATTTATTCTTTGCATCAACTTACTTTTATGAGGTCTAAAAAAACTTATGCGAATGGATAAACCTTTCGAATTTACCTTGTTTATTTATTTAGTATTTTTCCGAATAGATATCTGCCTATTAATTAACAGTGATCATACCAAACCCCATAAATTCCTTAAAGCAACCTCTCAGGTACCAGGGAGGACTCCAACCTTTCGCTATACGAACGAATGCCCTTCCAAATGAGTTACCCGAGACCTAACAAGATCCGAATTTTTTTTAAGTGTTTTAAGATAAGTAAACTGACAGCCAAATTTCTGGGTCATTTACAAAAACTTACTACATTTCCGAAATATTAAAAAAAATATTTTTAAGAAAATAATTCAGTATGTTACATTTAAAATTCTCGTTTACCTACAATATATTTAATAGGCAATGTTCGATAATTAATAAGACATTATGGTTTTTGCAAGAAAAATCGTTAATATAGTTTTTTGAAATGCAAAAGTCACAATAACAAAAAAATAATCTTACTATTGGCGTTGTTATGTTTCATAATTGTTACCCATATATTGCATTACATTCTTTTACATCATTTAATGACTAACTTCTCCAGATTCCATCTCAACCACTTCCTTTATCGACTTTCTTCAATACATTCTAGTTTTATCTACTCAAAGATTGAATATTGCATTATTTTTGGTATTTTTCATTTCTCTTCTTCACTATTTGCTTTTATACCAATATCAATCATCTTATTCCAAATATCTACATACCATACTGTAGTAATCTAAACAAATTACATCGACAAATTTATCTAAAAGCATGTCACTATCTATAAGATCACGGAATCAATACGAATTATTATTTACCAAAGAAAGTTTACTGGCAACCGTCCGTCTGTATTAACTTGATTTATTCTATTAGCTCCCATCGACAAGCGACAGAAACTTTTATTCCTAACACTAGTTATTGAAAGACTTATATCCAAAGTAGCGTTGCACATAATTTTGATCCTTATATCTCTAATAATAAAATCATGGGTTTAACTCAAGAAGGTTATATCGATGATAATAAATTTTGCTTTTTATCTTAAAAATGAGATAGTAGATAAGAAAACATGGAATATGGAGGATGATGAGATACGGTACAATGATTTTACTTTGTCTAAACTTTCGTGGCTATTCGGGTGGTCGATCCATTGACGGCGTATGATTGATAGTGAACATTATATGTTGTATTAATGGTGTCGATTTTGTTGAACAGGCCGAACTGAACTTAGGAATAATCGTCACCTTCTTTACTATCTGAAAATTATCAAGATAGTTCACTGATCATTGTTTGAGAAGTAGGCAAAGAATGAATTGCATAAATACAACTCTTAACTAAAATTATTTGGAAAATATTATTTCTTTAATATTCAATAATCAAAAACTCAAAGTTTCTAAGAAAGTTATTTGAAATCATAACTTACTTAAAAAAAATAAAAATAACCAAAGACACACATTGTAAAATTAAATATGACGTATGAATTATGATCAGATGAACATTATAACCTTATTTTTAAATAGCTGTGAGCTAAAGATAATAATTGTTTCCTACTTTCAAACATCAATATAAAACGTAACAAAAAACCAAATGAATAATAAAAAAAAAGAAAATCCAACCACGAGAGAAAAAGTTCCAAATTTAAAACTCCACCTGTACATAACATCCGGAGAAGCGTGGGTGGCAACTCGCGTATCGTCTTTACATCCTTCATGTTTTAGCCTCGAGATATAGGGGACACATATCAAGTAATTCTTATCGATTACACATTTGACATTGTCAAATTCATCGGATATTTTATCGATGTACCACATATGGTAGCTTACAATGTAATGTTCAATGATCTCTCGATTTTATTTACTATTTATTAGAATCTTTCATATTCTGTTCTATTCAGGTACTAAATATATAATCAACTTAATTTACGATTCACACTTATGTTAAAACATTAATAAGTCGAATCTATTCATGAGTATTTAATTTAATGATAAAGATTTGTCTGTAGGCTCGTTGGTCACATAAAAATACTAAAAAATAAATTATCCTAGAGCTGAAAATGTTATTTTAGCCCCTCTTTTAACGTATATAAGGGGATGTCCATTAATCACGTGCATTTTTTTAGAGGTAACTAAAAAAAAAACTAATTTTTTGTCGCCGATTATCGGTTTAGTAATGGCGCGTTTAACGAAACAATAAATACACGTGATATGTTACTACACCCCCTCCCCCTTGTGATATTTCCTGATTTTTGATCAACCTTCTCCCCCCCCCTTCGAGCCTCACGTGATTTTTAGACGGCCCCTAACAACAGACTATTAAAAAAAACTTTCAAAAAAATATATCATAACAATATTCTGAGTCAAAAATTTTGCCTTTAAATTATTCTAACCTTAAATTATTTATAATTACATTCGGGATACCACAGACATTATTAATCGCACACTCCAGAATTATTATCCTGTCAAAATTTAATAAAACCATCACAGGTCCGCTACCTGATTTTTTTGTACGCAACATCTGCTTGGAAAGCTTGTGAAATTGCCATGTCAAATAGGTTTATAATAATGTAATTTTTTTCCAATAAAATTGAAAGAGATCCGGCTTCTGAGACTCCTATACCTTTGATGTTGGATTTATATGGATATACCAGATATTTTCAATCATGTTAGCATTTTTTAAAAGACGTTTTTATTTGTTATGATTTATTATCTATAATATATAAAGCTTTTACTTTATATAACTGTCGTCACTAATGTTAAAATCTGAAAGGTTTCTCGTATCTTTACTTCTTATATGAATCGTCCTCAATGTATGGCAGTTAAATTGTTGAAATATTCAAATTTTGACGCACTCATGCTTCAATGTATGAGTTTGTTTATTTAAATAAAGTATATTTTTTATTTACTGTGTGGCAGTGTTTCTTTAACAAGAGTCGTGAAACAAATACTAGTCGCGGGCGGTTTTGCGATGAGTCGCAAGACTTCTTATAAAACTCTGTGCGTACAATTTCTAATTGATGCTAATACTTAATTAATTAACATTTATATCTAATTACATAAATGTGGGTACCAATATGTATGTATATTTTTATATTTTCTTGGCAAATTTAAGAAGGTATTTATTATGCTGTATGAAAAAATAATAAAAAACTCTATTCGCATCCACTCTAAAATCAACTATTATTAAAATGTACTTAGAAAAGGATAGGGGATCCAAACCACGAAGACACCTTTATATTTCGAACAATAATTAATAGAGATATTATTCTATTCAGACACAAAATTCAATAGAAATCTTCTATATAATACGAATATTGGGTTATTATTTAGAGAGCTCAATTAAAATATATTCCTTATCAATAAAAAAGTTTAATATACTGGATCTCCGCGTGCTACGTACTGTGTTTATAAAGTTTTTAGTACTCGGTTTATCTAAACCTTTGTTAGGCACAAGCCTCTCACAAACTGTATGATTGGTTTCTTGATACTGTATATACTAATATTTAGTTTATTAATTGTGTTATGATGAAAATAAATAAATGATATTATTGTCATTTTCGTTAAGAGATCTTTAAAAAGATATTTTTAATTGCGCAAAGTGAAGCATCGAAAATTATTTATTACTCGAAGATCATTAAGGCTAATTATATTTTAATCAATATCAGGACCTCAGCTGCTCGTCATAGTTTTATAATGAAAAGGAATATAATTTAAAGATATAAAGAGAATTAGGTGAATTTCATTTTCTCATGAAAATTATACAAATTTAGGTTACATTTATTATTTTAGTCTTAGATGTCTATGCGTTAAATAAAAATTATCCTGTGTTTTTTATTTCTCAATAACTTAACACGGCTTATATGTCCCCTGAACTGTTATATTCTTACTATCATATTCAAGACAGCGTTTTAATTTCTTGTTGATCCAAAATAATTAGCAACTGGTTTTCTTCCTACAGACACAAGCGGAAAGTCACTAACTTACTGCCTTCAAAGTCTTCGGCTCCCAATCAGAGTTCGGGATCTCAAAGGAGAGCGCCTCCGCCAGCACCTCTATACGAAGATCTACAGGACCTACCTAGAAGACCTCCATTACCGCTTAGGCCAGAACTGGAACCACAATTAGAGGTAGTACAGCTCACATAATCTCGACACTTCAATAGATTTTGACAATATTATATCGAATAAATATAGATAAAAACATATTCAAGAACAATAAAACAAGTTATAAGTCTTTAGCAAAATTATTTAGTTGTACAAGAATTAATAATTTTAAACAAATTAAAGGTTTCCATTTAGATCATGTTATTAATATTTTGCAAGTAAAGATAAACTTTGATGACTACAACCTTCAAATAAATTAAGCCGTTTGAACCACGTAATAACATTAATTCGTCTCTTTTAAGCCATAATAGATATAGATAATACATGGCTAACTTTCAAATTCAGTTAATAAATTTTGTTTCCACCAACAATATAAAATTAGATTTGTCAAGAATTTCCAGATAGTTCCAAAGCTGTTATATTAGAGTTTAAGAAAATACTTGAACTACAAAATTCTTAAATCATTCTTATATATGCGTATAAAGATTTACTTTTTTAATATTTTCAGATGGTTGAATCCAAGAGGCCAAACTGCCCAGGAAGAGTTTTTGTTTGTGGTGCTGGTGGAACTTGGCGAGGTGGAAATTCGTGTGGTGGTGACACGTGTGGTGCTCCTCTTTACGAAGAACTACCGCACAGGTCCGATGATAGCCTCCACAGCGATGACCACTTCGCAGAAGACGAGCTAAGCCTTGTTGGAGAAGCAGCTCCATGTAGAACATGTTCCAAACCGCCCACCCATCAGTCCTTACCCCACAGACCGAGGCATCAAAGAATGGATCGCCGTCCAAAATCTCTAGAACGAAGGAAGGCACAACACAGAATGCAAAGGCATATACATCCACCGGATCCGTCAGAATTTCATGAAGGAGTTTTACTTGATGCGCTATTGAGATTGTACCCTCAAGTTGGTACAGTAGGGGCGAGACCTCGTGGTCCTTTACCAATGGGAGCAGGAGGCGCATGGCCTGGAGGAGATTTGCCAGGAATCGCCTGTTGGCGAGGTCCTAGAGCTTCTCCCAAGCCACCGAGTGGAGATTCCTCATTCGGATCAGACTCTGGTTATAGCAATAATACGTGTGGAACATGTGGAACCAGAGCGTCATCTAGACATCGTTTATCAGCAGAAATTCCAATGTCATGAATGTGTTCGACTGTTTTAGTGCTTAAATGGGCAAGTGCCATAACTTTTCTGTTGTGTGAGAATGAAAAATGGACAATTGGATTCACTGAACAGAAGTTATTGTAATCATTGCATTTAGTAGTTTACTTTCCTCGGCCTAACTTTTAGTGTGGCCATAATCTCATTGCCTTCTAGTAAGTATTGAAATGAATAAGAAAGTCTTCGCTCGACGACATATTATGGACTACTTTTCTACTGTTATGTACATATTCGAATCTGTTGTCATGTAGAAAATTTGTCCCTTCCTTAGAATTAGCCACGTTTTTGGTAACGACACATTGTAATTCTAATTTCATTAGCAGTTACACTATGGTTTTGTATAATATTCATGTGACCATATTTTTAGGTAGTGATTTAGCAGTTTCGTCCTAGTAAGTTATTTCAAACTAGTCCTAAAATTATCACATTACGACATATTGAATTATTATTATTAAAAAAATCGACATTATGACTTCTCGTGTTGTCGTGAAAGAGTTTGTAAATGAATTTTCGAATTTTGTAGATATTGTAAAAAATATATTTAGTTAAAATTAATTACTTAAGTAAAACTAGTAAGTTGAATTTTATAATCATATCACGTAAAAATTACTCCACGAATGCATCAATTTAAATTTCGAAATTATTTCTTATAAAAGAATCTTTTAGATCTTGTTTTAATTTTACCACTGGTGCTAAACTATGTATTTATTATAACTAATGACCTGTCTTATCGGTAAGCGATTCATTTTCAACACACAAGGTATTAATTACTTACTTTTATTTATAAGCAAAATGATTGTGTATTTCTATTGCAAATGTTTTGTATTTTTTTTCTTTTTCGATCTTCTTCCTTTTGTATCTTTAATGCAAGTACATAGTATTTTGTTGTCGAAACGTATTGTTTTTGTTTTGTATTGATATTATCTAAGTGATATTTATTATTTTTTTACCATTTGTTTATAATGTAAAAAGGTTTCATCACAAATAATGAAAATCATGGACCGATCGTCCTGTTTATATATATATGAAAAGCACAATAAAATGAAAAAATAAATAAATTTTTAAGAAAATATTTCTTTTTATTTCTTAAATCCAGTATCGCCATTATTAAGAGTTGATATATTTTTAATCAATTTACATTAATGAATCCTGAATCCAAAATTAAAGAATCAATCACTCAATTAGATTGCATTAATGACTATTTGGAGAACAATAAATACTATACATATAATATAATATAATAAAACTAAAGAGTTTGTTTGCTTGAACGCGTTATTCTCAGGAACAACTGAATTGAATAAATATATTTTTGTTAAATATTCTAATTATCAAGAAACGCTATGATGAAAAAGGTAAAAATAATTACAAACTTTTTATACATATGGTGAAGTCAAAGATGCCATAGAGTTATAAATTTTTCATGTGCTTTATTTCTGTGGCCAGTAGTGGGGACATTATTATACTGATGAATAAATTGGAATACATAATTATTACAGTACCTTTTGTTATATTACAGCGCTCCTAAATAGATAGTCGTAAACTGAAACGTGCTCATTGCCTATACTCAAATTTTAAAGGGAAAGATTTCATTGTTTGTGCATTGATTGGGCTCCAAAACTACTGGAACCATTTTAAATGTAATTTCACCTACGGAAAGTTAAACGCGGGTAACATAGGCTATGATTTACACGAGTGACGTCACGGAAAACCAGCTAGTTTAAAATATCCTTAAGACTGCATATAAAGACAAAGAGAGAAAGAAACAAAATTCGCAATCTTGTAACTTGAAATAGAGGATGGTAACGAATTCAGCGTATTATATTCGATAGTGATCCAAATATTAATTACTTGTAATCCATCACGATTATATTGAAAGTTCTCTATCAAATCCCTGGGGTACACAGTATATTATACGTTATAATTACTTTTTACAGAGATACACAGCTAGTTGCACAAGCATCCATTAAATTTTTTATTAGTTTGAAGCGACATTACCCATACATATTTTAATTCATTAGAGCTTAAGGCGTCATTAAACCTTAATGGAAGCTTGAGCAACTTGCTGACTGTCAGGTTTTGCGTCCGTTCCGCATCATAAATTATCGAAAAATTCGTTTCTTTGGAAGTTGTATTTAAAAAAAAAAAAAAACAAAAATTAGTTCACGAGGAAATAGAATAGGCCTGCGGGTCTCATGTTAATTCGTACAAGTAGCATGCGAGACAATCAGTAGCCGCTGGAATCATGTGCTACTTTTGCAATAACGTAATAGTCTGCGCGTAATTAATTAACAATTCTTTTTGTCATTCTGTGTCAATCCTCATTTCATTGCCGAGCGTTATAAGATAGGCAATGACAGTCTGTTGGCTTTAGCCTCTTAAAACTTCAGTCATTGTACTTACAGTAATGGGATAGGTGATTCTAAATCAATATCTTATCTTAATAATTCATACTCTTTTGTTCCTAATCAGGCACATATAGCGAGATCGAAGCGTACTTCCAAACTAATACTATCGTAAGTGCGAAAGTTTTATCTTAGTCTAGGTAGTTTTAACATGTGAAGTTGTTCAGGAATAGATATCACCGGGAAAATATTTTCTAAGAAACTTTTATTTAATATCAGTGGTGGCATATGAAAGCTTTGGCACTCATAAATATATTTGGGTCAAAGTGTTTATACAGCCAACCGTTTCCATATTTTAAGTTTGAGTTCATATAATTGTTATTTTTGTAGATAGTCTTATTCCGTTTTCACTAACCTAAAACAAGGCATTGCTTAACTAGGAAACTAGCTTAATCGAAGACGAATCGCAAATTAGTTTAATCGCAAATTAATATTTTTTTGTTTTATCCCTTGACGCATTTGTAACTTTTCGTCACACTGATCTGCAAATGCCTCACGCAAAGCGGTATTTTGCTGAGCCATCCCAAAAGTGTGAGCAATACTCCATACACGGACGGATTTGCGCTTTATACAAAGTAAGAAGCTGTTCCGGTGTAAAGTATCATCTAACTCTATTTAGGATGCCCAATGCATCATGATGTCATAATTTTGGACATTACTTAATGTTGTCGTGTGGATTGAAATGTTTTTTAGGCGACAGATTTGGGCGACTCCTAAGTTTAATGAAAACGGGTATTAGTTTCATATATTTTATACTGTCTGATCACCGCCATATCACCGTCCAAAAGTGGACTGCACTTTTGGACATAGGCTTCCAGTGTACGTTCCTCCAAAGTACGTAACAAAACAGGATCGTCGTTCAGCCGCTAGCTCACTATTTTTTGGGGTTGTCAGGCCATCTTACGCGAGGGCGTCTGACACTACGTTTGGCGAGATGTGATGTCCATTCGGCAACCCGTGCACCTTTTCATCAGTTCTGTAACAGATTTTATCTTCATTAAATTTGTGTTACTTTAAATAACAAATTAAAAAACTATAATTCAATAAATTTCCTTGATTTCTCACTGGAAATTGAATTGACATCTCAAAAATGGCTATAGAAGACTGTTCAAAATATGCAATTTTCGTCATTAAATATGGTTATAAAAAACAGGAATATCTAATTATTTAAATAAATCTTTATAATTACAATCTATAAAGTATGTTACTGACAGGGACTCCATCTCCCGCTGCACAAACCTCAACAATTGCTTCTAAGATAATCTTACATTATATTAAGAACAACGATTATGATTCACATCTAGATGTGACATGAAACTTCATATACATTGACATCTAAATTAGACTTATATGTAAGTTTTGATCTTATCTCTAGAGGATAACTGCTTTAAAATCTAGTTGCGAGGTTTGAGGACCATACATACTTTGCAAGTAAAATAAAAGCTTTTGAAAATTTTAATGGTATCTAAAGTAAATGTTCAGCTAACTGCTATAGGTTATCACCAAGTTTGAATTTAAGACTTTTATGTATAATTAGTAATTAATAATTATTATCGTATATATTATAGAATTTTTCGAAAAATGTACTGAGAAATATTATTATACTTGGTTGCTGATTGTGGTTTCTTTTTGATTCCTTCCTCTGAAAGAATCGAGTTGCAGTTCAATGAGAAAGGTAAATTCCAAAAGTAAGTAAGAAAGAAAGAAATACATTTATTAAAAAATAGCATACAATCTATATACATTTAATTAATTTTAATTAAAAGTGGTGGCCAATTTGGACTCTGCCTCAGCGTAAGTTAAACATTATTTATGTATTTTTCTAAGAAAAAAAAGCAGGTAAGCATTGCCTTCTTCTAAATACCACCCAAAACTAATAAAGATTTACGTCTCAATAGTGTTTTCCGGACATCAAAGCAATGTCTTTTACTTAAGGCAGTTTTTATAAGTTTATTTTTCCTTGTGATACTCATAGAAGCAAAAAACACTTCTAGTCAAGCAACATCATAGTCAACGGCAAATATTAATAATCCGCCCAAGGCACTGTTGATTTATGTGCTTAGACGAGCGTTCGCGAATGAATATATTTTAACAACACACAGTCGCACAAACAAACTTGCGGAGATATGAGACATGTGACGTCATGTCACCGACTTGTGACTAAAAAGGGTTATTATTTATTAGCTACTGCCTTGTTGCTTCTTGAAATGAGTTTAGCTTTGTGCTGTTATTATTTTGTCATGTTGGGGAAAACATTGAAATGGGAAAATTAAAACTGTTCATGGTTTCATGTCTATGGATTTCAGATTTTATATGACATTTTTTTTATGTCTATATAGAGAATATTTCATCAGAATAAAAAGTAACTTCTAGGTTCATCTTGGTCTTCATCACAATCATATATTATTAAAAATATTGGACAACATCACATACATTGCATAGACTGAGAATTTAAGTAGATAAACCATTGTAATATATCTGAAACAAGGAAGGTGCCACAATACCCAGACTCAAGAAAATGTCGAAACATTCATTTTCTACACTGACCCGTTCGAGAATCTAATCCGGGACCTCAGTAATAGCGACACCTTGTAGCTGGCGTGCGAGCTACATGACCACGAAGGTCCTAAACCAAGGAGCAGTCCAAGGAGGGTATTTATTTAAGGTTATTGTACTGTGAGCAATTTAAATGATGCCGCTATGGAGTAGATACGTTCTGAATTTCCCTAGATTTGTGAGATTTGTGGACACCACGCACCAGTTTCGACCGCCCCTTATTTTTACTGTTAATTTACGCCTTAAACTTTACTCATATAAACACATCAACTTATATTTATGCGATTAAATATAAAAATACCGATAAACCATAACTTATAATTATATTATGCTTGTAAAGAACTTCACCTAAAAGTACTGAACGGATTTTGAAGACATCTGGTAATTAAAATATTGGGAAGGTACTTTTCCGGTCACTAAAATGTTTCTTAGTGATAAAAGTACCACCCAATCATCGTGTAAACTATTACTAATAAAAAAATAAAGAGAGAAAAGAAGAAATAATAAAAAAAAAAGATACTAAAGAGTTATATATATGACAAAATAAGACCGTCACGAGTCCACAAAAAGTTATAGAATTAATTGAATAAGACATTGACAAAAGGAAACAAAGTTCTAACAAGATTCGCGCTATTTGTGTCAACATTATAATTGTGTTATTAGATTTTAAAGAGTTATTTTAACACATACATTTTGACAAATTTGCTTATGCAAAACGTATTAATGGTACACTGGCAGAGAGTTTATAAATATACTTAAATGCGGTGATATCTATATATATCTAATGTATAGATATCACAATGCTATACTCAATGATATTTTTAGTAAAAAATGCTTTGTCTGTTCTGTAGTAGAGAAAAAGAAACAAGTGCTTGAAAAATTCGTCAGTACTGTTAGTTTCTGGGTAGTTCAGTGGTTAAAGTAGTAGGTAGTTCAGTGGTTAGAGTAGTGGTTAGAGTAGCCCGGTTTGCGAAAGATCATGGGTTCAAGTCCCATCTCAGTGTGCCACAGACAAAAGCGGGTTTTGTAAACATTTTTCATTAAGAATATAAATATTATTTTTCACTTTAAGTTAGTCATCGATTTAATTTCTGAAAAATAAATA